CTACGTACTTCGAGTGGTCTATAGGGTGTGGTTATGTTGCAGGGACCCCATGCCTGGACTCGGAAAATATCCCCAAAGCAATGCTGAACCGACACCATGCCTGAGAGCTGTCAATTGGTACTTGGGGTCGGAAATCGTATTCAAAGGTCGTTTACGAACTTAATCCTATCTTAACCAAGCAAAACAATCTTTGACTAGTCGCTCTAGATGACTTTGCGCTATTGGTCGAAAGACCAGTGAAGGTGCATACGCGCCCATTGAAGTCAAGCTCGTCTAATTTTCAGAGATCCAGATACTTCTTCACGAGTGTTCTTCAATATAATCTAGCATCCCACAGGCGTCCGTTGATGGCATCTGTAGATGGTAGCGACGTCGCCGTCGTCGATATTTCGAACATTATATCGGAAGATGCTCTTCTGTGATGTTGGGTCGACGCACAAATGATGTTCCTAAAGTCCTCAGAAGCGGCAATCCGTGGCCTCCCCTAGTTGACTCGCTCGAATGGGCCCACGAGAGACTCAACACTTCCGAGATCGTTCGTAATGACACAACAAACAGCATTGGATGTTGAGCATGGGTCAATTCCTGCTTGCTGCTCGTGGCAATGGCGGAGAGCTACTCCACGGTCAGAGAGCGAGTACTAAAGTTTCGTCCTTTTGTTGAAAGAGATTCACTGTTAAAATAAAGAACTCTAAAGCAGTTCCATACTCAAAAATCTCAGAAAAACCCAAATAAAATCAGGCCGATGTTGCAAATTTAAAAAAAAAAAGACCGTCCAGTTGGCGAGACGTAAGCTCCCGCGTGTTTTCGCAGGAAAGTCGGAGACATTTGAGGAAGGTGCTGCCAAAGAATCGATAAAAAAAGTAAAGTATCGAGTTCGAGATGAATTATGACAAAAAAGATTCAGGGTGATTTCTTTTTGACCAGTACTGTATGTGGACAAATCTTAGCCAGTTCTTGTCGCCCACTAATGTCTTGGTTAGATGTCGTTCCCACTTAGTTCACCGCTCTGTCTCGCGTTCAGGAATGACTCCACTCTCCCATCGCTACTTCAAAAATGTCCCTGTGCGGCTGCATTGCTGCTCTTGAGTCATATAAAAAGGGCTACTGCAAACGTAAAAAAGTAAAAAAATCGGATAATAGGAATTTATAAACATTATACACTGTACATGAGGAGCTGATAGGGATTATCAACACAACAACACGAACTGAACGGCATCAGTATGATCATTAGCGAACAAGGTTGAGCAGAGGCAGAAGTAATACTGCCATAGTCGGTGGAAAATCTCTGAGTAACCGAGCGCCAACGCATTTTTTCGCATATCATCCGTGCACTGGAACCGGGGAGCCGATTGGTAGAGAATCGGGTTAACTACTGCATCTTCCAGGTATTTCTCTTACCTGTACCAATTATCCAATGTGATCAGAGCCGTATGGGAGGACAAAAGCACTGAGATGTTTATCGACTTCGACCACAAACTGTATTGGATACATCCTTCCTAAAACGCCACTATAATTTCGGAAAGGTCGAATGCGGAACTCATCCTGGTAAAAAGAGTAATCATTGTTAAAAAACTTTGCGAAGTTTAAACCCCACCTCACAAGCGGCTATCATTGGTGGTGTTCATAATAGTTCGTCTTCTATAGTTTGCTTGGCAGGACTCTCCGTTCATGTTCCTGCCATCGCCAAATGCTTGCTATCTGACCACTGATATTTGCTACCCGACGGAAAGATAGCGCATGACATGGATGAAACTAAGTAAAGATGGGAAATTACAAATGGTGTACAAGTCGGTGTCAGGAGGGTTTCTTAACCCAGGTGACACATCATTTATCTAATATGAACAAAATTTGCAAGCTTAAGAAATGGTCGTACATTTGTCGAGGCAGTACAGATCTAATGGAAATTCGTCCAAAAAGTCCACAGCACTTCGTTTATTCACTTTAGTAAAAATCGAGCACTGATCCTATTTTCTGTATTCTCGACCCTCTTCTAAAGGGTAAATCACAACGGAGTTCTCGAGAACTTGAAAAAAGATAGGACTCATCACTGATGAGCGATGTGACCCTAACAAACACTTTTTCGACAACCACCCGTCCAACCGCCTTCTTCTGATAAGGATACTTTAGCTGAATTATACGGCCATGATTTTGAAGGCATATACATATTCAACTATCAAAGGCACTTTAATAATATTGCCAACAAATCTCATGTAGAGAGCCTTTAGTGATCGCGCTTAATGCATGGCCGTAATGGAGGAGCGTACCAAGACCCTATATAAGGCTCCACTATATAAGAGAGCCCAAGCTGTCAGAGATTCGGATAGCTCTTCACGACTCCTTTTCTCGACGTTTATTTAGTGTTTGCTTCCAGGTAGTAAATGAACGCTCTGTCGCTCTCAATCTGATCCCTCGTGACATTTGTAAGTTGTTCTTCGATAATCCTCTGATAACCTTTTTGATGCCATCTGGGGTAGGATAGGATATTCGAACCGTTTGTTCATCCTGAGTTCCAGCACACAACCCTCAAAAAACATTTCTTGCATGTTTGCGAAGCAACATAAAGAGTGGTGGTGCCAAAAGGGTAACGTAGATTCTTCGGGACTCATTGGCAAAGTTTGTCTATTAAAGATACTGACCCCGTATTTTGTTCATATTGGCTGCTGCTTTCCAAACTAGATGTCGCGCCGGCGATACGCCTTGCTCCTCGCTATTCGTTGGCATCGATATTCGCCACTTAGGAGCGGCGTCGCCGTCGGCGTGATTGCCTGATTGGGGTCTTACGCTGCGCTCGCTCTCGCCCCATTTACCACGCGAGATATTACTTCGGCCCTAGCGGCCCCTACGCTGTCCCTGCACTCCTACCTTTACCCTACGCGTGCTACTTCCTATGACCCGGGTTGACCTGCCACAGCCTATCCTTAACATTAGAACCAGATTTCACGGCATCACCGTCTACGATCTTAAACCACTAGCTCAATACTATATACGCAGTCTTAATGGATACGCCAATAAAAAAGGGGATATTAATACGACAATGAAAAGAACTGGTGAAAAAGAAATGCATGTTATATACATATATACATAAGGAAAGAAAATGAAATACGTCAGCAATTGAACTACGATGAAAACCAGCAACTTACGTCTGAGGTGGTACGAACCCAGTACGTTAATCTCCAAGGGGAGGCGACGTGGCTCGGGACCGCTGGGCACCTATGGGCTTCCATGCCCAAGTCGATCACATCACATTCTATCGGATTGCATCACACTTCCAGGCTCTGGCGGTACGACGACAGGACGACGGGCAGTGGCGGCCGGCTACGACGATGGATGCATGCACACTGCCGGCTGGCATTAGGCCAGAGCACGCGTCGAGTATAGCCGACGCGCAGGCACCGATACGCTGTGCACGCCGGGACCCCTGCGCGCCCGACCGGGTGTTGCCCTTTAATAAGTCGGGCGGAAGCCACGACACTAGACAATCGGCTATAAACATTTTACATTTGACGTTGCTTACAGAGAACCACTCGTAGAACTCTACTCGTTCTTCATTTCGCATGCACCCTGCTTTTAATAAGATCTACGATGGGTTTAGATTTAGCGAAAAAATCAAAGGAAGCGGCAAATAGCGATACGATTTCTGCGAACGAATAGATCAAGCTCCCATTCGTCTTTTCTCTATGTTGGAATTCTTTTGTAGAAACTGAAGTTCGTAAACTATAAATCCAAGAGGCGATGAGGTGGCCAGAAGTTTTCCTCATAGATCACTATAGGTCACTTTCATGATCCGCCAATGAATTGCAACGAATAAACTGGGGAAATACCAGAGACGCTCTTTTCAGAAACCGACAACGGCGAAGACTTTTGATCTAGGAATTGGGCATGAAAAGCAACAATTGTAGGAAAGACAGCAGCATTTAGTACCAAATGAAAACTTTAGGACAGATTCGTTGTATAGTTTTAATGGTACAACTAGCCGGTTACTTTTCCCCATAATATAGCGACAAAGAGTACTGCGCTTCTTCTGCCGACGTGGCTGTTAGGTGAAAACTTATAATGGCGTTTCGACGCTACCGCTTTTTTTTACAAAGACCTAAACGTGGCGCAAGATTTAGGAGATGTCTTCTAAACCGCCAAACGCCTCCTCTCCTCAGCGTTCTGATGGATCGTCATTAGCTTCCTTATCTGAACACGCAGGTGAAAGTGTATGATGGCATGCTCAGTAAAAAGGATGTATATCCCGATGACAATATATATATAATGTGTTTCTCCAGATAGACTGTGGATATCGTATATCTTTCTTCACAAATGTGGCGGTCCAGTAGAGTATATTTATACAGTACAGCGAATAACAGCAACAAACAGAATAACTGGCAGCACAGAATAAATTCAGTACTTCGAGGCGTGGGCAAGGGATGAAGAAGAATGAACCTATTGATTGATAGGTGGCCTATTTATACCCGCAGGCCAAAGACCAAAGTTCAGACAGCCACTCCCGCCAGACCACCTACAGGAGATCTAACATTTTTTAATCGCTAACGTCGCGATATTCCCCACCACTTAGGGTCCCGTTCTGTAACCCGTGTTAGACAACATGAAACGTATTAGTAACGAACAATTGAACACTCCATAAAATTCACGCCGGATAGACTCGTCTCTGTAGCTCGTCCAGTCGCTCCTTCAACTCCTTGATCCTGCGTTCAGCTTTCTTCTCCGTATGCGTTGCTTGAGCCAGGTTTCTGTTGATTTCGGCAAACCTTTCTGGTAGGTCGCAGACGGAACTATGGTGTCCATACCTTTTGCAGTGATAACATTTCACGTTGTACGTGCGACAAATATGGTGTTGAAATCTTATTTCAAGGCAGCAGGTGTATCTATGTTCTCCCTTTAGTATCGATCTGCGCACCGAGCTTTCCTTGTAAATCTCACAAGAATCGTTATAGTGTTCTCCTATTCCCGGGCAAAAAAAAACACAACAATCGTTCCTTCGTCCCAGCGTCTTATGACTCCTCGACTGATGTCCCTGGGTTCACATCTGGGTCTCCTTTTGAGTTCGGCGATGAGTTAAGTTCCTCTATTTTTACATAAGCGTTGGGTATTTCTCTATATATTTGGCGTTTGACCTCCGCTTCCTCGGGAGGGTTCGGCTCTGGCTGAAGCACCTGAATGCCCTCCCCCTCGCCGTCGCTATCGTCCTTAGCGCCGTCTAACGCGTCTTCCGAGGCTGCCGGTGGAGACGATTTCTCAATGGCGTTGCGCACGTGGCCTATGCTCGAAGCGATGTGCTCTAAGTTTCGTTGTGGCTTGTTGATCAGGGTGTTAAAATCGTCTTCAGATATCATCCCCAAGGCGATTATCAATGGCACAACGGCTAATAGCGTGCGGAGCTCTGTAGTAAAAGCGTAAATTCAGCCCATGTCTTTTCCCTCAGAGTTTCTAACAATTTTAACTGCGCCCAGCGTTCTTTCGGGTCTTTTTTGGATTTCCTCAAGTCCTGAATATGACAAAATAGTTCACTCGTAAAGCGAGTCGCTACACGTAGTTGCATGCTTTTGTGTATCAACTTGCTGTGCAGCGTCTATGGGTCGGGAAGCGGCGGGATGGCTTCCTTAACTCGGCGCAAGCCTTGAACTTACACGTACAAGTCCATGATCTGAAGGAGTAGTGTTGACGTATTTCGAATGCGCTTTGTTAGCTGTATATTTTTGTTTACCAATCAACTTTTCTATGTCGTGAAGTTTTCGAAGCGTTCTTTGGATGTTACTTTTAAGCGTGAACATCAGAACGAGTTGTGAGATTGCTTTTTTTACACTTTTTCGGAGACCAAAATGATGTGCGTGATTATTGCGTGATTATGAACCAGATTGTGGCATTCGCGAGTTTGGTGTATCGCAGATAAAAGTTAAAGGTAGCCAGACCATAACAGCCTCGTGGAAAATTTTGCTTATCAAAGGCGTCCATCGCTGGGGTCTCAATACGAATCACAAGGGGCACCTGCGCTTGATATTGTTGAATGGTGTCTCACTAGTTTGCGTGGTCTTTGTTCTGAATGAACGTCCATGACTACTTGGCTTCAAAGTAGCCTTATTATCATACTTCGTTATAAACGATGGTGATGGAGATGAATGTGGTTGCGCTATGATAAAGGGTGAGTGAGCGTAAACTTTTTGGGATTTGTGCACGGTTTGCGTGATAACTCGTGCCATTTTGGCGCAGATCGTAGCGTTCGTATGTGGATTCCCCTTTGACCCTTGAAAAAGCGAAAGAAGCATGATGCAGGAAAGGAACCACTTTCTAGACCTGGCGCACGTTTTCTGTGTGGGGATAGCAGTCTTTACATGATGAGTGCTGCATAATTGCGCGCGCGGCCGTAGGTTGTAGGGTCCCTGCGTCGTAGGTTGGTTTTGGACTGGGAAGTTCGGACAACCTCCGTCTTCACTCGATGTTGTTTCTTTGTCGTTCTTGAGCTCCAGCGACACGATGAGATTTTAGGCCGTTTCATAGACCCTCTCGTTCCCGCAACCAATTCTACTTCCCGGATTTGACCGTCGGTCCCCGCGATGGTTCGTGTTACTCGCGCGAGCTTCCAGTCATTTCTTTGGAGAATAGGATCGCTTACGAGAACAATTTCTCCAACTCTTGGGGTACAGTCATGATGACGTTTGGAAAAAGTATATTGTTTGTGGGTCTCCCGCAGGCTGGTTACGTAGTTCTTCTGCCATACATTCCGACCAAAATTGGACGTTGATCTGGCAGGATGAGTCCAATGCTTTCTCTGCTTCCATTTTCGTTGCCAGAGCACGACTTTCCGCCGGTGGAAGGTAATCTGGTATCTGTCGTTTGACTTTGGATTTGGTAGGGAAATGTCAGCACCAATGTCTTTCTGAAGGAAACAATAGGGCGAATGGAGTCTAGATTGTCCTGTTCCGAACCTTGATAGGTCAGCGGCCTGGGGTTCAGGCAGGCAGGAATTTCTGCAGCAAGGAGGAAAGTAGGCGCATTGACACTTGTGATGGTAGATGGTACCCCTCTGCGAGCTACAAATCTCCGCAGAGCGTTCAGGAAATCTCCTATTGACATGCTTCGCACCAGCTCTAGGTGTATCGGTCGCATCCCGCGCACGTAAAAATGCACCCATAGGTCTTGCATTCCATCTCGTTTTCCTTAACAACGGGGAGGTGAAATCAAGACCAATATGTTGAAATGCGTGGCTGCGTACTACGCGGCGACTTGGCGAATCCCTTGTTCTGGGTAAGCGTAGGGTAGCCCGTTGAACCTGCGACACTTCACGCACTGTTTTACTAGGTGGCGCACTGGTTCCTCAGTTTTGGTATCCAATACTGTGAGTATTGTCGCCATGGTGTGTTCGGTTCCTTGGTGGTAGATCCCGTGAGCTTCCTTTACAATAAGATCGGCCAGCAGAGTTTTGGGGAATACAAAAATAGGGCTTTTAGCGTCTGCGTTGAGAATGGCGTTTCCAATACTACCTTTTGAACGCGAGTGGTGGTCCTCATCTTTGTGAAGGCGCAACTTATTTACTATAGATTTCCGGTAGTCGTCCGTGAGGTAGGGGACCTGGTGGTTGCGTATAATGGCTCTTCGAGACGCAGCCAAGGCATAATCTCCAATAGCCTGAGGGTAGGTGGGGATGCGCCGAAGTTCTGGAATGTTCCCCTGTATTGCTCCTTTCCGTGCCTGGGGTAAGCGTTCCACGTTCCTTTTTAACGAACACCATCACGAGCGCCATGACTCTTTTTGCTCTGGTCAATTAACTGAAGCGAGACAGATCAATTACTTGCTCAACCGTCTCTTGCATGGGCTCTAATCCCACCGCGTTTATGAGTGCTTACGCTTGGTCGTGCTCTTGCGTATTGACCATGCTAAGTGCATACGAAGAAGCGGACCACGTGTCTATAGGGTCGTGTAAAAAGTTGGGTCCCTCCCACCAAAAAGCATGGTCCAATTGCGTTTTTGTGAGCCCTCGAGTACCAGCATCAGCTGGATTCTGATTTGTCGGCTCAAATTTAAAATGCACTTTCCAACTCCTCCCCTGTTGAAGGCTTCTACAATGCGTCGTATTACTTTCAAGCGGTTATTAACGAGCACTCCTAGATTTGATGCGGCTGGATTTAAGGCTAACCAGCTTAACGCCACTTGCGAATCGGAGAAGATATAGGCGCTTTTCAAACACTGGGGAATGCGTTTTTTGAGCGCTTGGAATACTGAAAGTGCTCGGCGTAATGCTATCGCCAATGCGTTCATTTCCATTTTGGGTAAAGTAGGGTTACCTCTTATGGAGGGTAGTTTGCATTTCGCCATAACCAATGTGGACTGCTCAGCACCGAAGATATAAGCGCGTGCCGACATAGCGATGGAGCTAGCGTCAGAAAAGACCGCTAAACTGCTGCGTTCTGGATTGCTCACGACGTCTACAGAGAGTGCGCTCAAATCCATGTGCATTTTCACAAAGCGTATTCCAGCGCTTCTGCAAGTCTTCAGGTAAAGGTGTGTCCCAGCCATAGCCTTGTGCTTCCACAAGTCTTGTTGGAACCTTTTTGCTCGGCTGAGAAGCGGGACGAGCCATCCAAAGGGATAACACACTGAAGCAATTAGTCTTGCTACGAATGGTAAGGGAGGGAGGTTGCATCGGATTGATATCTTGTCGTGCATGCTATCCCACGGTGTTCCCAAGACCTTCTGCTGCACTGTGCTCGCTCGAGACTTTCGCGCGAGTCCTTCGTTCACGACTCTATCGTTGGAGAGAAACTCTCGCAGATTCATACCCATTTCTGCAAAAATTTCTCGGGTACTTCTGGATTTTTGTATCGTTGAGGTTTCCGCTGCTAGGATGAGATTGCCGACGTGGAGGTTCTCCCTTATCTCCTTCTCTAGCCTTTTGTCGTTCACTGCGTTGCGAAGATGGAAGTGAACCGTCCCTTCAAGGAGAAAGGGTGATACGTTAAGGCCGAACGTAGCCCTGGTGAATAGATAGGTAACCAGATTTTCCTCTTCGGGGTCCTTTCCAAAGTCGCGTACCCAGACGCGTAGAAGAAACGCGTCGCAACGCGATCGAGTTCGTGTGAAGGGACTTGAAGGAACGCTTTCTCTACGTCTGATGTGACGACGAACTTCGGAATTCGAAAGCGTAATAGCACAGCGTGGAGTTCAGGTAAGATAAGGGGGCCCTGATGTAAGACGTCGTTCAAAGCAGGGCAATTTCTGGAATGTGAGTAAGCGTCAAAAACTATGCGTAACTTGGTGGTTTGCTTATGGGGCGTGACGATCGGTTTGTGTGGGATGTAATGGACTACCTCTCCATCTCTCTTGTGAGGTTCCGATACTTCTTCAATTATGCCCTCAATCTCCTGGGTTTTGAAAGTGTTGTGGTAATCCTCCAAAAGTTTTGTGTTGGACCTCAGCGTGTTCAATACGCTACTGAGTCTCTTTGGCGCGATCGTTTTATTTGAGGGAAGCGGGGGATGCTTTTCTTTGTATGGCAGGCGTACATAGTAGCCATCGCTTCTCCTTTCAACGGTCTCGTTGAAAAACGAATTCGTTAATTGCCGACCTTTCGGCGTCGATTGTGCCGGTGTACTCACATACCCCTGCCATGTCCATGGCCCAGTATTTATCCCATCTGAGGAGAACATCTTCTTCACCTGTGATAGTTTGAATAATTGATACCATTCTGAGTGTAGCTCCAATCCTGTGCTCGGAAATGGTGAACAACCGTTGCTTCCCAGTAATTAAATATCCCAGTTTTGACGGGAAGAGCTGTAGCCCTGACGGTAATGTATATCGAGGAGAAGGATCACTCAATAAGCCCCAAAGCTGGTCGCAGCCAAGGAGAATTTGCGGGCTGGAAGTCCTGCGCGTACCTCGCCTTGAAAGCTTTAGCCTTTTGCTCGCGATGAAGCTCACATCTTTTGCAGTGAAATGCGTCCCCGTTCCTCTTCCGGTCAATATTGGTATTGTGTGCAAGTGCAGGGTATATTTCCTTCCGTGGTTGTCCTTGAGTTCTGCTCGGACGACCCCACATCTCGTCTCTGTAGGTAATGTGGACCGAAAGTATAAATATTGAAGTCCTTAGTCTCGTCGGATGCGAGGCCCAACTCGTGCGCAAGGGTCTAGTTGATGAACGACTGGTCTGCTCCTGTATCAAATAGGATTTCGACCGGTCCCCACTCTTCTTTTATCGCGTTCCACACCTTCCCTACCCCTGTTAAGAGGAGCGCGCACTTATTTGCAGCATGTACTGTGTATGGGTGCTGTATGCGCTTGATGTGTCTGTATCTAACGTCAGCTGTGGAATGGGATTTTACACAAAGTCTTCTTTTGTCGATGTGGATATGGGGTGCAATCTTGTGTCCCTTCTGTGATCGCGCGCCGTAGCATTACCTGCTCTTTGCTGCGCGCCTGGTTTCTGAGTTGGCGTCGGCTTTTTGCTGGGTGGTGGAAGTTCTGTTTTGTATGTCTTCCCACTCTCCGGGGCCACAGAACTTGGCTGTGCTTTTGCCACCACAGGACCTGCATCCTTCCCTTCTGCAGTCCTTCACCCAGTGCCCCTCTCGTCCACAGTTGAGGCATATATTCCTTTCCAAAAGAAAGCTGCGTCTCTTGGCACTGGTTCTATAACTGGGACATGCGGTTGAACCATGTTCGAATTCATGTTTGTGATTCGCAGAACACGCATGCCTTGTGTATTGCGGAAGTTGTAGAGGTCCTCTTTCAACCTAATTTTTTTTTGTCCCCAGCGACCCCTTGTTTATCGACCATTTCATTTATGCGCTCTTCTGTGCTGATCTCAGCGTCTACCGCCTCTACCATGATTGCCCTTTTCCACTGGCTTTCCTCCATGTCTGGTGTCACCAACTGTTCCAGTACCTTCCGCTGCATGCGGACTGCGAGCTTGGATAGCACCTTCTGGGCGTTGTATGATCCATCTAATACAACCCCTAGCTTTTGAAGTTGTGTAACAAGCGGAATTATCGTTTCCAAAAGCCCCCTCTGAGCTTGTATTGTTACACCTTCTGCTACCGTCTCCTCTAGACGGCGTTGTAGAGCGGCGATAAGCTGGGACGACGAGCTACTTCTTCTCTAGAAGGTCTACTGCGAGCGCATAACTCTCCTCTGTGATTGGGTACTGCTTGATCAGTTGAAGTGCCTCACCACGTAGTGCCGATAGTAGGTAGTTGAATTTTTGCAACCCACTTAATGAGTGCTGAGAATCCACCTTGGCCTCAAATAGTGTCCAAAAATTTGAAAAGTCCCATATCTTACCCTCAAATACCGGTATTGGGACTGGTGGTAGCTTGGGTGCGATTGCTTCTACTTGGTAGGGAACCCTTGTCTGCATTGGAGGCGCATCTGACTCCAATGCTGCTGCAGTATCTAAGGCTCCCGTGCGTTTGGCCTGAAGTTGCAATGCGAGCTTTTCTGCGTTATCGACTGCGTTGTGTGCCTTTTCTATATATTCCTCTGCATGTGCTTGCTGTTCTTCGGTAAGGGGTTCACCAAGGCCATCCAGCGCTTCGACCAACAAATCGATTTGATCTAATACCAATCGAGCTGATCCTTTCAGCTCTGCCACGTACTCGGTTATTTCCTTCCTCTGTGGCGGGGTATCGCGCAGGGATCGATTATCGCGTTAACCGCTATATCTATTGATCAGCCCCACCAGATTGTTGCAATACCGAGTGAGGAGGGATTTCCGTGTTTTTAGCGCCTTTGGACCCGACATGCTTACTTTTTGTGTTCGATTCTTTTATCGATCGATTTTTGTCGAAACACAGACGAAAAATGAAAAAAAAANAAAAAAAAACCGAATTCAAAGAGAAAAGTCCAATCAAAGTATTCAATTGAAAAAAGGCGTGTTTTTAATGGCGTGAATTCTGCGTGAACTTTCAAAATGAGACTTGAAAGTTCTAAACAATCAAATGAAATTTTGGTACCTCTTCACTGGCTTTCTGTTCCGTTTGACAGATGCACCATAAAAAGGATGTATATCCCGATGACAATATATATAATGTGCTTCTCCAGATAGACTGTGGATATCGTATATCTTCTTTTCCAAATGTGGTGGTCCAGTAGTAGTATATTTATACAGTACAGCGAATAACAGCAACAAAAAAAAGAACTGGCAGCACAGAATAAATTCAGGACTTCGAGGCGTGGGTGAGGGATGAAGAAGAATGAACCTATTGTTTGATGGGTGGCCTATTTATACCCGCAGGCCAAAGACCAAAGTTCAGACAGCCATTCCCGACAGATCACCTACAATTGGGAATCTAACGTTTTTTGGTCGCGAACGTCGCCATACTCACGGTCAAGTGGTGCAGGGAAGCAAGCTCAAAGAACGTCTTGATCCACGACACATCTGCGCACCCTCGTACCTTGAAGAACGTAGTTGTTAGGAACATGTTCAGAGCGGTCGCAAATGTGCGCACTGGTGCTACAGAAAGCCAAGAATCCATGGGTTCCGATATAACTGCTTCAACAGTTACACTGTATCACGACATCGCAGAACTGACACTGAGCAACCGAACGTGCCTCGTTCAAACAAAGTCCCTTATGTATAACAATTATATCCGCTAGAGTGACTGCAGCAATTCAACGGTGTCTTACTCGAGCACAGATAAACGATGTTGTTTACCAGGGAGGGGCTTCAAATTCCCATATAACTTTGAATAAAGACTCAAGTATATCGATAGGGCTTGGAAAGCTATTTACAAACATGGAAATTATAACTGCACAATCATTCTACCAAAAAAGTTGTGAGCGTTCAAAGTTTGCATGCTCAAGGCATGGAGGGATTGTGCTAGTTGATAAGCGCAGTTGCCCACAATGACAAGAAGGATCACCTTGACATAGTGGCAGTGCTCTCCCTCTCCAGGTAGGCGATGAGGTTTGTTCCCGTTGTCGTTTTTGCTTTTGCAAAACCTGCTTTCATATGCATAAAAGCTGCTAGACCGCCTTTTTTCACAAGCTTAAGTCGGCGCTTTGTTTCGGCTATAATTTACGATCACCTATCTTCCCCCTTTTTGAACATTTCTTGAGGTGGAGGTGGAAATCCGAATCACTTAAAATAGATATGCATGAAAATCTGAATATTGATGAAACAACAAAAAATAAGTGAAGCAGATATGCTGTTCACAAAATGCGAACCTCATATATACATGCTGTCTCGCTGCAACCGTAAATATCATAGAAGGCACAGTCGATACGAGACCAAAAATACACGTTTTGCTCACCACTTTTTGGGTTGTTTCATCGATGTTGAATTTTCTCGCGTGTACAGGACTATTTCATTTCGGGTGTGAGTTTGTGTGTTTCGGTGTTGAAAATGAAAGAGCATCATAAAAATGACGTGGAGAAGTTTTAAATAAGGGCGGTGATAGGTGATAGGTAGGTGATCGCAAATAATAGCCGAAGCAAAGCGCTAACTTGAATTAGTGAGAAAAAACGGCTTAGGAGCTTCTATTCGGATGGAAGCCCGAAAACGAAAACGACAACGGGTATCAAACCCTTAGCGCTCACCTAGAGAGGGAAAGCACTGCTTCTACGCCGCTTTGATCCTTGTGGCGATTGCGGGCAACTGCGCTCATTAACTGGCACTATCTCCCTAGGAAGGAGAACGAAGCATAGATTTGCATTTGGCAGCAAAGCAGAGGTTGGCCAAAAAATGCCCCTTTTAAGCGAGACTTTCAAAGTTCAGATTATCCGCCGCCGATTCACTGCTGCCCTCTCTTAAGAATCTTAGTGTTGCATGTTTCAAGGTTCACGTTTGGGAAGGTTGGCCGATACACCGATTTGCTATAACGTTCGTCATGCAATTGACAACTCAGTCGCAGATTTGATCACATTGGTGGTGCAGTGTTTTAAGTCTTAAGTCGCTCATTCTGAGTCGTTCGGAAGGTAATTTCGATTTCTGAACTTTTCACAAACCAATTCTTTCTCCTTTCGAAGCAGCCTTGAATAGTTATTTATACATACAGTAGCGCTCAGAAGTCTTCGGTGAAATGGGTTTTCAGCGGTACTTTTCAGTCGTAACTCCCTTGCTACTGGTTCTAATCATGCAAAATTTCTATATTCAGAGCGTGGGTGTATTGGGATATTTACCACTATTAACTTGCAATCTGATCATGGTCCAGATATTCCAAAGAGCATGAACTCAAAATCGACTGAAAATACAGATGATGGCCCTTTTGGAATCTCTCTCCTTTGGGTCATGCAAAAAGTGTACGAGCGGTAATGCCGAACACAATAGATGAGAAAAACGCACATATTGTGCGAATAAGTGCAGACGTCAACAAGTTTAGTTTTTACAAAATCTGCTACCGCAACAAACACCTTGCTCTATTTGAAGATAGAACAACTAACTAACTAATTCCTTGTTGTAGTTTTATCGTTCATCCCTCGCGGAGCTTCCGATCATTGTCGAAAAACTGGCCCACATCAGATTTGTTATCTTCACTTTTGGTAAAAGTTTTCCCAGTGAAGGGCTTCTGCAACTGGTGAAATGGATGGTATTCGGATGGCAAGAGGACAGGGCTATATGGGAAATGTTGCATTACTTTTCAACC